ATTCTCTAAATTCAAGAAGGCCTATAAAATGCATTCAAGTATCAAAACCGCACACCTTCAGTATAAGAATTAACAATATTTTGAATATTTATATAGGAAAAAGTAGTCCATCAAAAGCTCTACATGTGTTGTTGGAGCAGGTAGACGACGTCACATACGACTTTTTAGCAGGCTCTATTTATGCTCAATAGTATTTAAATCGGACCTTTGAGCAGACCAGAGTGTATTTTTGAATCATCATTATTATTAACCTGTATGTGTCCACTGCTGGATTTAGGTATTCCTTAGCTCTTTCCATCTGTATCTGTCTTGTGCGAACGTATACTGCCCAATTCAATTTTAAAAACGCGATGTCTGCTGTTTTTGTTCTACGACTTATTTCTTCGTTTGGGATTCGGTCTCTTAGAGAGACACCCAACATCTAACGTTTCATAGCTATCTGAGTCACATGAATCTTATCAACTACCTTTTTTGTGAGTGTTAATGTTTCCACTCTTTGAATAAGTACAGGTAACATACATTGGCCAAAGATTTTTCTTTTGAGGCATATGGGCAGATCCGATTTAAATACAAAATTTTAATTTACTAAACGCAGTCCAGGCTAATCCTCTGGTGAGAGGTGGGAGCTCACGTATCTGGTTATCTCTGTCCAACCAAATTTCATGTCCTAGGTATTTATGTACATGATGCAGTCTGCACAGTATCCCTTCCATCAATAGCAATATTTCGATTTAGCACCAGATTATTCATTATTTGCATCCTGTTCACATTAATCTTTATTCCGACCTCCAAGGAAGCGGGATATAATTTTTCAAACATTATTATTGCATCATTCAGGTGATCGGATGTAACGACGATGTCAACTACAAATCTCAAATGACTGCGTTTTGAAATACCAAACTCCTAAATATATTCTATTACTGTCATTGCCGTGTATGGTTTCGTAATATCCTGCATTAGCAGAAATTCGTTGTCAATAAATCCAGTATGAGGCATGACATGATTTTGTAAGATTTCTGTTACGTACATTACTGCTGTTAACGTTCCTCTGTAAATCACCACGAGATCCGTAAAAGCCTTAAAAGAAATCCCTGTCCAAAACATTACTAAACCACCATCAAAAGCAACTAGTCGTACCCAAGTACAACAAGCGAAACGTTCTCCAGCCCATTTGTACACCTTACTGCGACCGTCTTTACCATAAATGGACATTCTACTTATCCGTAAACAATACTTTTTTCCAATCCTCTGTTGTCCAATTAATGTTCTCACGGTAAAACTCGAGTGTTCGTCTTTTGTGAGCTGGGGAAAGGGCTAAGGGCTGCGTTGCTGGACTGCACGCTGTCAAACATTGCTCCCTTAGTCTTCGCCAAATAGAAGAAAGGCTGATTGCTGGTCCTTGAGCTTGCTCTAAATGGCCTTGGAGTATTGTGTATAGTGTTTTCCTTTTTGGGTCCAAACTAGCTCATCGTTAGCGATATTCCGATAAAATAAATTGCCGATGTTTGTATAGTCGAGCGGCTTACATTTAATTGCCTTGCAACTTGTCTTTAACTTAATCCGCTTTCTAGTATCGTTATAATTTCAAACGATTTTTGAAAATTCTCCATCCCTATTAACTCAAGACTACTTCACACTAAGTCGGCTACTGTAACTTAACAATATCATACATTTCTCCAAACAATTGACAAAAATTGAATTGAACAAAATTAATCAAGTTGTAACTAACCTTTTCTCAAAATTGTTTTGTTTTATAGTTTTTCGAATATCCTCAATCTAGTTACAGGATCGGTTTGCTTTCGCAACAAACTATTAAACTGAAATAACCTAAGACACATGAAAAATAAAATAATAATAATTTAACATTTTCTATCAATGATCAATAATTTCAAAAATGTTTTAAAAATTTAGGGAGGCCCTTTTTCTATGGCGTGGAGTGTTTTTTTAAACTAAAACAAAAAAAATTGTATGCAATACCTAGGCGTAGACATTGAGAATAAAAGTAGAACTGAACTGGCAAGACCAACATTCAACAAAATGGGACCATTGTTTATCATCATTATATAGCCTCAAAAGTCCATTGCTGAACTTTTTTCAACAAATTTTCTTCGCCATTTTGGAACTGGATGAGACTTGATAAGACCATTATTATGAGATGATAATCTTAACATAAAAGTAAGAAAACGAATGATGGAATGCGTTGTCAGTGTTAACCCTCCCTTATGACGTATTTAGTGCCGTGTGGTAAGAAATATCATTCTTTTTTATTTGCCTTTTTTGGACTTTGAGCTTATTTTTTATGGAAATATAATTATTAAATAGTATTTATCCAGATAAAACCAAAAAGCTACTACAACAAAACATTATTTTTAAGTAAACGATAATACATTCACATAATCTCATTTTGATGACAGTTTATACAGATTTCTTTCAAATGGTTACCATAAACACATTTTCCACATTTGGAACAAAACTTTCTACTGGTTTTATCCCGAACCCTTCCACATATCTTCCTTGGGATCCGGTTTTAGCTTCGGCTGGCTTCCCATATTTCTCAATACCAAGCAGCAGTTTTGCACGTTGTCCTAGCTGCCTTGAAATGTATGGATTTTGAGACCTTCGTTCTGTTTGAGGTTTGATCAAATCCCATTCTATGGCAAGAAACGAACAATTATTATCTTTTCATTTATGATGGAGATATTTGTAGATGCAAAAAGCAATTATTGCGGACATGTTTACCAGATTGTAGAACAGTACAATCGGCCAACACCTAGTGTTGTGCGCAACATTATTGTCTTGATAAGACTGATCAACCAGGTCAACTTTGGTCATATTATAAAAAGTCACGACCTCTAATTTATTTTTATCTTCAGCAGACTCATCGATATCAACGGTGGAATGTAATGTGGATAAAACTAGTTCAGACTTGTTATTTTTCGAACAATAGGACACCAAAGCTTAGCAGCATTCGTGAAAGCCGAATACGGTGCACCAATCTATTTCGTAATGAATGGAGTTCATTTGGTACTTTTCGTTTATATTTTTTTTCATCCTTCTTACTTCAGTTAGTTTTTTCTCTAAAAACCTTTTTCACCAAAGAAATACTGGTAAACCATTTATTGCCTGATATTTCCAGACACTGGTTTACTTAAACACAACACAACTTCTTGTCCCGAATTGCTTACTTGGTACTTCTGCCTACCTTCATAGTCTTCCAAATTCAACGTGCAAACCTGTCTTAAATGTCTTAAGTGCCTACCTGTCAGTAAAAGCAAATACTTTCAGGCCGTATTTATGCGGCTTACTCGGTATATACTACTTAAACCTGCATCTACCTTTGCTTGAAGATGTTTATTGATGTCAGGTACTCACTTGGTAAAAAGTAAGCTTAACTATTATTCAAAAGTAATTCCAGCACATCTCTTATTGGTGTTAATTTGTCAGTGACTTTAAGCTTACCTCTAATAATATCACGAATGGAGCGGTTTCTAGTACTTTTAATTTCTGCCAGCTAGTCGAAGGGTCTAAAATCTAGAACATATTAGTAAATAAACAACATATTTCCAGGTTTTTTTAATATAACTAATTTTTACGTAACAATACTATATATACAATACAAACAGTTTCGATTCATTTTGCTAAAAAAAGATTTACAGTAAATCAAAAATTTGTTTAGGAAACAGTATAATGCTTCCAAATTAAGTTCGCATTAAATCAGCACTGTATAACAAAAGAACAATACATTAATATAAACACTTACCATTTGTTGGCTGGAACAACATGCTTGCTCAGCCATTTTGTCGAGAATGTATCCATAGCGTCCGAACTAAATGCGCGAAATTTAGAATTTCGGGCCGATTTGAAGTCGTCTACATAGGTAGTGTATAGTCAACTGTACAGTACCAAGAAATGGGTTTTAAATACTGTTACGATAATTATGGCGTTTAAAACTGTAAATATATTATGACTAATTCTGTTTTTGTTCTAGTCATTTCGACGCTTGTTTACCAGAAACCTCTAAACCCCAATTTTGATGAGTCATCCACGACTCGAGGTTTTTCAAGCAGTTGAAAAACTATTTTCAGCCGTCGACCGACTTCTAGTACCTTCACCGAAGTACCAGTCTATTCGATGGGGTCCCGTTCTAATGAAGAAGGTCATCGTTTTTTCTTGATAACGGCAGTTTGTGTATATAAATGAAACATTTTATTTGGAAGAGCAGTTAATATCTGAAGATCGCGCGCCGCGTTTTTTTAAATTATAACGAAAGTATTATATTAAATTAATTGTAAAATAAATTAGTGCAAATAAACACTTTAATAAATTTGTGAGTGTTATAAATATTGAACCTTTTGTAAATTAAATTATGAACAATAAATTAGAACTATAAAGATGTTATATTACTATTGATTGTCAAATAAAATAATTGAAATATTATGTATATTATAACATTAGGTTTGCCAAGTTAAGGCTTAAAGTGCAAATTGTATTTCTTGTTTAAAAAAATTTATAGTTTTTCTACTTACGATTGTGATTACAGCACAAACTGTTTAACTAACTGAGTCACTAACTATTATGTAAACGAAGTTAACTCTACTTACCGTAGAACTAAACAAAACGAAAAGGAAGGTGCCATATTTGCCCAACGAAGGAAGATTGCAAGTAGATAGCATAGATTAAATATATATAAGTAGAGATAGATAGGCAACTCTTTAATACCAAAAATTGCAATGTATACAGCGCCCTCTGCCTGGTTTAGTCATGAACTAAATGGGTAGTGACGCGGCGGGAATTTTAAACGTTCGAATAAGCTTTGTTGCTAATTATTGTAGTAAAACAAGATTCTACAACATAATGCAAATTATAAAAAATAATCGACAATTGTTTCTTACATTAACATTAACGATTATTTTTTGTAATTTGAATTACATTGTGGAATCTTTTATTGCAATTATGAACAGACTGCACATAATAGGAAAGGAAAGGAAGAAAAACAAAATTCAAAAATTAAAATATTTATTTAAAAAATTGACGACACAATTTACAAGTAACAAAATTATTTTAAGAACGTAAACATACTTACTTGGTGGTAAAAATAAAGATCGAATAGTATCTTTTTTAATAGTGGATTTATTTATTAGTCCAATGTATTGTGCATCTGGCCCAAAATGGACATTACATACACGGTATGATTTTCGTACCTTCTCCATTGGCATTTCTTGTAAATTTTGATGGCCAATCCTTTGAATCCAAACATTATACAGCTACAAAAAACATACAAGAATTAGTGTCTAATAGATATAGTATAAAAAATATATTTAAAGTCCATAACAATAATAGCAATGTAAATCATATTATCTATTACTTCTTTCTTTTTTTGTTGTATCATCTGTAAATACTTCAATTTCTGGATATTTTTACATTTTTGTTCTAACACAAGCAAGGTTAAAACATTTTAAGGTTAGAGATACATACTTAGGAATATCTTGTTTGTTAATCGTTATTAAAATATTAATGGCAAATCAAAATAAAAGTTATTTTTTATTTTAATATTAAAATAAATATTAATTATCACTTACCTCTTGATTTTTCGGAAAAATATGCATTTTAGCATCTTTTTGGTAATCAAATAATATAAATCCAAAGACGTAAACAAACACCGTGTCATAGACAAAATAAAATGGCGTTGTGTTGTTGTTGTTGGGATTTTGCAGATGCGATGACAGGCGCATTTAAAGAAAGTTTTTGGTGGCGCCACCTTTCTAGTTTAGTCAAGAATTAAAGAGAATGAACCGTCATTGCCATTAAAGATAACATGCCATGGTAGATAGTAGTAAAAGCAAATGTTCTAAATATAATATTATTGAGTGTCGATCACACAGCAAGTAAGTCAAAATATGTAATAAATGCGAATGTTTATTTGTTAATTTACAAAAAATTGCATTGAGTTCATAAAAAAAGGTACTAAGTAAAAGGTGGTAAATTATGTTTTATATTTGGATCTTAGAAATTTTAATGATGTTGGAAGCAATATGATAAAATAAAATACCTTTTTTGTCTGCACCTGCTATAAAAAAAATAGAAGTTTTTATAAACAGATAAAAATTAAACCGATCATATAGCTTCCTAATGCCTAGAGGGACTACATCAATAAATAAAGTATGTACCTATCACTCTAAAAATATCATTAATCTAAGAACTCAATTCTAGTGTCGTGTCGAGACTATGCATGAAAATTGCTGTAAATGTAAATTATAAAACTCGTTACCATTATGTAAATACACGCCACGAAACCATGTAATTTTATAAAAAAATTGTGTGTCGATATTTGAGTGGAGCTTTTTGATTTCGACGATCAATTTCGTTATGCAAATTACACCAAATTATTATTACAAAACAAAGGGTCAATTTATTTTGGTAATCTTCTAACGGGAAGTAAAGGTCACCTTAAAGATCAATTTAAAAAGGGCAATAAACTATAAAAATTTAAAAATGGAAAATAAATTGAATTCTATTTTTTCTCGCAATTTTCTTTTTTTGTAACATACATAATATTGGTTAAAAATCCCAAAAAAGGCGAGTTTCCGTACCTTTCATTTAAATTTGCAAACTTCTTTACATTAATTACTATTTAACTGGGAATAAGCCACAATTAAAGGTTAAAATATGTTTATTGACGTTTCAATTTCCTCTTCGGAAATCGTTTTTAAAATACAAACAGTATTTACTGTTTGTATTTTGTTTATATTTTGTTTAATACTGCCAAAGAGTCTAAGCATTGCTGTTACTTATTAATCTATTCCAAAGTTAGACGTAATTAGCTTAGTGGAGAAATCATTTTGTTATTTACCAGTCCACAAAAAAGAATAGTACAGAGTTTTATGTAAAATTGCACCAAGCTCCAGACATTGGGGAAACTTGTAGGAATTTAAATTATTATTAAAATGAAAATCTCTAGATTTTTCGTTGAGGTTTACCTTCAAACAAAACAATTCAAATTTAGGGTAATGTACCAATTGTCAAAAAAAAAAACGATAATACGGACTATCATATTTGGTGTTTGTTTGTGTTTAAATGACTGCGGACACTAAATCCATTCGCCAATCTTACAATTTGAGGTGTAGTGTGTGTGTGTGTGTGTGTGTGTGTGTGTGTGTGTGTGTGTGTGTGTAGAGTAATTGTCTTGATACTTAGCAAAGTCGACGTCATTGTCTTTGCTAAGAGACGCTAATTGTATCTGAACGTCTGCGGTCCCTCCGGTGTGTACCGATCACACAAGGATAGAAATTATTTTCATTTATTAATTTTTTTTTAATAAACGAAAATTTCCACCCAGGTGGGATTCGAACTCACGACCTTTAGGTTTTAAAGGCAGGCGCTCTTACCACTGAGCCACAGAGGGGGTTTACTATCATAATATGTCGAAATAAAACATTTATTTATATTTTTTTAGTTTGCTATGAAAGCAAATTATTTAGTATTGAAAAATGTCTATTTTTACTTGCCAACTTACCAACAAACTGCAATGGACAGCCGGAGTGTGACGTCACGGCGGCCATATTGTTATTATTACTTTCCAAATAAAAGTTGAAATGCCCAATCTTAAGACTTTTTAATTTCTATAAAGATAACATTTTGCTTATTCTGCTGCTTTCTTCTTGGAGTATAGTGTTTTTTACAATAATACCATCATAATTTAGTGTTCTATTTCTATTAAATATTGTATAAAAGTTTAAATTAAAGAAATTCCAACCTTACTTTATTGATACATGGATTTTATGGCTATTTTTGTAAAACACCGTGCTTTATTATTTACATAACCTTGTAAAATTATTGTGGTAACTATTAGAGTACTTAACTATTGCAAAAAGCGGAAAGATTTTGTAAAAAAAAACTAACAAAAATACAGATTATCCACACTAAACAAGGCATGTTTGGAAAGTGAAACTGATAGAGGTTAATAAAATCTACGTCATCACTCTGGCAGTCCATTCCCAAAACTCGGCCTCTCAAACGCTCCTACTTAAAACCATGTGGACCTTGTCAAATTGATGTAACGCTGCTTTACAAAACTCTTCCATACGATACAGCACAACAAATCGGTAACTAACTCAAAAAATTCACCTGTTTACAAAAAAATTGCCGGATTTGAAGAAATGCAAGTCACAAGCTATTTCTTTCAAATTAAAATTTAACCTCCGTTTAATTTCCAGACTGCTACACTACCTATTTTCCCATAACGAATTTAAAGAAAATCCGGACTAAATAATGAAACAAACTCCTATCGTGGTTTATTGCAGAGTGACATGTTTTTATTGCAGATTTTATTCCCCACCAACCTAAGTGAATACGTTCATATTTACTTGACGTGCAAAATATTAAGCAGAATCAACATCAAAGAACTACAGATAAACCACGACACAACAAAAGTGAAATAAAGAAAGATGGACAAGAAAACAAAAATAAAGGACGAAGACAACAGAACAAAAAAAAAATAAAGAGTTGAAAATAAGCACATGGAACATAAGAACTATGCTAGCTCGAGGAATAATGCTAGAAATAGGAAAAGAACTCAAAAAGTATAAAATAGATATTGCAGCACTACAAGAGAGAAAATTATAAATTTCAAGCCAATATGCGAAAGGATGGCCTATGTTAGAGTCAACAGCAAACCATTTAATATATCAGTCTTGAATTTATACGCTCCCACAGAAACAAGCAATGCAGACGAAAAAGAAATCTTTTATGATAAGGTCGAAGAGGAGATAGAAAAAATACCCAAAGAAGATGTCATATTTGTACTAGGATACCTCAACGCCCAGATTGGAAAAGAGGACTTTTTACAACCAATTGCAGGAAAGCATACAATACACGAAAGCACGGACGACAATGGGCAAAGACTATGTAACCTAGCAACAAGAACAAATTTGTTAATAAGCTCAACAAAATTTGAACACCCTAGAATACATAAGGTAACAGGACGTCACCAGATCAGAAAACATATAGTCAAATTGATCACATAAGGATTAATAAACGAAAACAATCGTCAATAACAGATGTAAGATCGTTCAGAGGTGCGTGTGCAGATTCAGACCACGACATGGTCACAGCCACTATAAGACAAAAAGTTAAAATTGAAACAAAACAAAAAAACTACTACACTAATAAAATACGGGGGAAGGGAACTAAGAGGAAAAATACTGGCACTATTGAAAAATAGATAGAAACAAGAAAAAATGCCAGGGAACTGGGAGGTAGGGCAGATCATAACAGTACATAAAAAGGGAGACCAACAAATCTGTGAAAACTATAGAGGAATAACATTACTAAATATAACATATAAAATATTGACATCAATAATAAAAAAGAGGTTATCAAAGATCACAAAGAAGACAGAAGGACGGTACCAATGAGGATTCACAGAAGGAAGATCTACAATAGATGCAATACACACAATAAAACAAATAATGGAAAAAGCAAACGAGTATAAATTAGAATTGGAAATGTTATTCATAGACTTCAAACAGGCATTTGATTCAAATAAAAGAAACTTATTAATGATAGCACTTAAAAAGTTAAAAATTCCACATAAACTCAGAAAATTAATAAAAATGACAATGAGAACTACAAAAATAAGCATAAAGACACAAAGAGGAGAGACAGAGGAATTCAGTATAAATAAAGGGATGAAACAAGGAGATGCCTTATCAACAACGCTATTTAATCTAGCATTAGAATATGTACTGCGAAATATAAACAATGGAAATCTCAGAACAAGAGGTGGTCAAATAATTGCATATACAGACGATATTGCTATTATTGCAAAGAACAGAAAAATAATAAAAAAAATGCTTGAAGAAATAAGAGAGAAACGGGAGGTAATGGGGCTAAGAATAAATCAAGAAAAGACAAAAATATTAAGATTGGGGAAAAAACCAATGATAGAAAAAATTAAAATAGTAAGTTCTAAGTTTGAAGAAGTAGAATACTTCTAATACCTAGGAGTTACAATAAGTAAATCCGGAGAAAGGAAATCCGAAATAAAAGAAAAAATAATAGCGGCGAATAAAGCTTATTTTGCAAACAAAAATAACTTAAAACCAAAACACTGACTTAAAAACTTAAGATGAGCATTTATAACACCATAATTAGACCAATATTATTATACAATGACGATGGTTAAAAAAGATAAAGAAGACTTGAGAATAGCAGAGAGAAAGATTATGAGAACCATACTAGGACCAATCAGTACAGAGCAAAATGAATATAGAAGCAGAACAAATGCAGAAATTAAGAAAGAACTTAAGGAAGACATCGTAACTAAAATAAAGCAATGCAGAGTTAGATGGTTAGGTCACATTTGGCGAGCAGGCGATGAGGCAGTGACATACGCAATGATAGAGTGGAATCCAGGAGGAAGAAAAAGAAAGGGGAAGACCGAGATTAAAGCGGCTGCAAGAAGTTGAATAAGACCTACAAAGGGCAGGAGTCAGAGAATGGAGAGAAAGAACTAGAGACAGGAAAAAATGGAGAGATGTTGTCAGGAAGATAAGATAGATAAGATAGATAAAACAAAAAGACTGATCCACTTAAGAAATAGTGGAAGTGCATTGAGTTTACCTTCAATAAACACCAAACTCTGATTTTATATGTTTGTTATGTAGAAAACATAAATGATGTATCTTCTATAGGTAACTGACTTACTAATACTGGTATTTTTTATTAATAACTT